TTTGAAGCTCTTGACTCTACAGGATTTCCTCCTGCAAACAATCCATTCCTGCCGCGAGGTAAAGGAGTAACGTGGCAGAAGAATTATGAGCCCTGGTGCTGCAGAAACCTGAATTAACGTGGGGAGGGTTGATGCAACAATTACAAAGCAATGTTTTTTGGGATGTTATATTTATACACCGTTAGACATATTCTATTATTGGATCTCTTCTGATTATTGCTAATTAAAAGATGAGATACAATTCCCAGTGAAATCAGCTTTGTTTCTAGGCTGCAAAACTGATGAAAAAGGAAGATCAGGCCCTAAGTTAACACCAATTTTAGTATGTCTAGCCATTTGCACATGACAGCAAATTAACATGAGCTGATAACCACGGCAGGGTAGATACACGTAACATCCCAAGAGCGCTAGAACTATTTAATAATGAAGGAATTAATGTCTTAAAAAAAAAAATCACTGTTGCTCTTTCTTAATATCTGGGCATATTTTGAAGCCAATATTCACACAAATACAATTATTCAATTGATGCAACTCAGTAATTTTTATTGCAACTGGAAGACAATACATCACAGAAACTTTATGGTAGATTTTGGGAAAGTGTTATTTACAATAATAATTGATGAAATAGTTTGTCTTTGGCAATATGATTACACATCAAGAAAATGTAAAATGCAAGTATGCCTCTAAATCAACAATTTCATATTTCCTAAAGATCAGCTGATTGCACTTGCCTTCGGACTGCTCATTTAGGTAAACACAAATACAACTTAACATCACTGTTCATTCCCCATCACAGTTCGTATTTTAATATTGTTGAAATTGGCAGTTTCAGACGCCAAGTACAGGAAAAAAAATTGGCTTATCACTGTACTAAATTAACTTATTGGCCAGTTAAGGTCCTGTGACCCTTAAGCATTGATACTAAATCTCTTGGTCTTTTGATTGCTTTATCACTTTTTCTGTAAAACAAAATATTTCAGAAATTACAGATCAGAGTATAAAAAAATGTACAAGTTCATAATGCTTTTCATACACACACAAATCATTCCCCCCAACATTTTACATCATGGCAGTTTTAAGTAGTGAGTGTGAATGATGCAGGCATGGAACTGGTTATCAGATACAGGTATGACTTTCAATTGCTGTCCCACACATACTCAGAAAATGTACAATGCTCTAGTAACTTAAAAATGTACTCAAGTTCAATGTCAACTGAACAAAAAAGAAAGTCTTGGGATTTCAGGCCAGAGTAAACAAATGAAGAAGATTCCCATTTCTAGATGAACAGCCATTCCAGCATCCAGCATGTTATTTTAGCATTCAATAAAATCCCTTCTAGCACTGAGGGCCAGCACGAGTTGTCATTTATCCCTTAAACCCTCAGATGATGAGCTCCTGTAACTGCTGGCCTGATCCAAAGCTCAACAAAATCCACTGAAAATAAAAATGTGAAACAAAACCCCCTTCCACTGACTGTGAAAGGATGTTATATCAGGTCAATATTCCTCTCTTTGCAAAAGGAAATGTGATACAGTAGAAAAACCATTACATAGCTTCAGATAAATATACCTTGTTTCAATGCTAAAACAAACCCCAAACTCCCCAAACCAGGAAAGGCTACTTATTAGAAGAACTCAAAAGTGACCTTTAAATCATTTCTGGCTTTAAATGTATACCAGCAAAATACAGCACCATAGACACATTAGGTTGAGACTTTTTTTTTTGGTCAGTGAAACTAGTACTTGTTTGCTGAACTGTGGAAGAATTGTTAGGTCATGTACATGATCAAAGATAAAGCAACCCAGCTGACAAGTCTCTGCTTAATTCAAGAATAACCAGTACTAAAAAAAAAAAAAAAAGAGCAAAAATAAAAACCCCTAATAAACCACCATCAATTAATACTTTCTAAATAAAAGGGGATTAACAGATGAATTCACAAATGTATGCAGATTTATACAGAACACTGAATGTTGTGTGTAAATCCTTAAAAATTGCATCTCAAAACAGAAACACACAAAATGTATAGTTTGACTTACACATCCCATTTCAAAGGAAAAGAGACATCATTACAACTTGGTAACTGTGCTAATTGCAATACAAACCAAACAGAAATTCAGAGTTTGGCAGGTAACTAAGAAGAGGGTTATCACTTAGGTTATATAGCAAAGTGTTGATGTATATTACATAGAGTAGTATAAATAATAAAAAAGTATTATTTAAATTAGATCACAGTGCTGCATTATGTGCATAACAGTGTTTGATATATTACTGGAGGGCTGTGAAGAACACTACTAAAACTTAACTGGTCAGACGGTCAACACTGATATTCTGTTACAATCAGGAGGGTGTATGGTTCAAATGCTCTTTTGGTGGCAAAGTCAAGAAAATGTTTCAAAATATTTCCTATAAAATATGCCAATGAGCTATTCAGGCAGGAGTGATGTGCCCGAAGGAGCTGGGTTTGCATTCTCCATGAAGTGAAGTAAATCGCATTGGAAATGCATTCTCTCAATAGTTTTATTCTGATCCTGGAGCACAGGAGAGTAATGTTTTCAAAAATGCCTAGGGTCAGATTCAAGGAAAAATGGTAGTAGTAGTGAAATGGTAAAGGCTTCCAGGAGCACTTGGGTGTCTGTAGCTCCACTGACTGCAAAGGAAATCAGACACCTTCAAGTTCCAGAAAACATCAGACTGTGCACTCTCAGGCACATGGTGTGATTCATGAGGTGTCCTGCACAGGGCCAGAAGTTGGCCTCTATCCTGATGAGTCCCTTCCAACTTAGCATATTCTATGACTCCATAACTCTATGATCTATCTACATCTTCAGATGGATTAGGGCCAAAATCTCTGTTAAAATCAATCACTGCCACCAAGAAACCAGGACAAAGTGGTGTTTTGGTGATTTTATCCTTGGTGCTATTTGGTGTACAATTTAGGATTTCATTCCCTGCTAAAGTATGTTGATGTAACTCTACCTCACTACAGTGAAGAATGCAGCCTCCAGCTTTGTTCTGTATCTTTTCCAAAGGTAGACAGTAATTCCGTTGAACACTGAAAGCCGATGCATCTCCTCTGGGATTCCCTTCTCCCATTAAGGTAACAGAGGAACAAGAATATGAACCTCAACTGAATTGCCATAGAGGAGAGAACACACTCTCAGTACAGTTCTCTAGTCCCACACGGCAGATCTCCTCACTCTCACGTTCGGCTTTTCAGCTGTAAAATCCTGCGATCTTGGAAGAACTACTGCCAGTTTTGCCAGGAGAAGAACAGAAGCAGACTGCTTTCAGAAACAGCTACAGGGTGATACATTTAAGCTGTTCAAGACTTGTGCCTGAATTTTCAAACGCAAGCAGAATCTGCATCAAAATGCAGTAGGACATCCAACTGCTTGCAGAATGCAAGCACGACCAGCAGATTTCAGCTCCCTGCAGATGCCGGTGAAATCTGCTTATGGCATTAGCTCTGGCCTGCAAGAGCTTTTTGCTGCAAAAGGCATATTCCAAAGGAACCCGCCATGAAGTCCAGCAACCCTTACAATTCATGCCTATGTGAAACTCACCACTGAATGCTTGCAGACCTCCTGGGATTCCCCTAGACCTCACCTGTCTTGGAGAAATGCTAATTTGGCAATACTGATAGAGTGAGAGGAATGGAAAGTTAGAGATTTGACAAATTCTCACTCCAAAATGGCTTAGTAAGGAAAGCAAACAAGCAAAACCACACCACCTCATATCTGGCAAGTGAGAGAGTTTGTAATACAGTGCAATTACCACTCTGTTTTGACATCATTCAGTCAAGGTAGAGACAACTCTGTTGAAAAGCTGACATTGTATTTCCTGGAAAACAAATCAATCTCAGTTCTTACAAGAAAAAGAGAACTTCTCTGATGGAGTCAGAACCAGTTCTGAAAAAGTTGCCATTGTCAGCCAGGCACAAAAATGGTTTAAAAGGTGACACCTAAATATTGTATACAACCCAAATTATGTACTTCTCATCAACAGTCAGAGTAAGCATCAATAAGGACAAGTTGTTTTTAAACACCAGAAACGATCCATTGATGGCATTAGTCCTCAGCCAAACTGCTGGTCCTGAACGTAAATTTGTAAACTCCTACCCAAAGCATATGTCCTTAGCAGATCAGACTAGGAGAAACAAATTTTACATGAAAATAGATGCTTGCCAACATTTTAGGTTTACCAGCAAGTATATAGAGGAATTGTTGAAGTCTTAGATAAGTTTTATATATATCTCTCTCTATATATATATCTGTATAAAGATAACTTGCCTAATTAGATATTTATGCAAAATGACTGTTTTCTAAGATGAGTAATACTAGTGGTAATTATATATTTAGCCACCAAGAGTCCACATTAATGAATGGTACTTACTGTCAGATACTGATCTCATTTGCACTGACACACTGCAATCAGAGAAGTTGCCCTGGAATTAGTGCTGTGGACAGAATCTGGCCACTGACACAAGAGTACATTGCTTCCCCTGGAGGACTGAGATAGCTGAGCCATGGTTTAAGTCTATCTTCTGCCACTAGATTTAACTTTTTAGTGCTACTTTTTGATAAATATTAAACCACTCCTGAGATGGTACAACTATGCATTAACGAGTAAAGGTAGTGGCAAAGTGATACTGTAGTATTTCTATTTCAAATGACTCTCTCCAAAGTCTGTAAAAGATGAAGACCAAGTTTTCTTGCACAGGGTTGTGTGGTTCACTGCCTGTGGACTTTGGCTGTAGTAAGCATGGATCTGGAAAGAAGCTCATTATCCAGGTCCAAACATATAAGGGAAAACTATGGCTCATTCATCTCTGTGCTACCTGGCCAAGGGACTGGCCCTTTCTGTTTCCCCCATTATTATCTCAAGGGCTGCAGGCAGTCAAGGAAAGTTAGTATCTATGTACTCATGACTTAACTAATGCAGGGAATCAACCCTGCATGCATCAGCCCCAGCAAACTGAGAGGAACACAGGCTGTTTCTCACACTATCCTCGGCTCTCTCCTTCCTCATCTCCATAGCTGGCAGTTGTGCTGAGCTACGCAGCTGTCAGGCAGCTCCTGGACCCAGGACACGCTGGCTGAGATGGGAATAGAGGCACCCTTTTGCTGTGCTGCTGCCAGCATGACCCTCTTCTTTACTGACAAAATGCTTGTGGAGCACAGGACCAGGTCCAGACCAGCCCTTCAGTCCTTCCACTTGCTAACAGAACACACCACAGGCATCTTCAAATGCAACTTTTAGCTCACTGCACTGAGTGGAAAGGCAAACCCTTTTCTAACTCACTCTTCATAAACTAGATCCATCTTGCTGAAACTGCTGCCTGAAACAGTTGTTAGGGATAAATCCAAACCTACACTCTTTAAAAAACCGACCATTCTGTTCTACTAAGTGGTTGGTTCCTGGGATTTTCTTTTTGCCTCTACGATATTCTAAATGTTGAATTTTTCATGCCAAATGCAAGAATCCAGGTGAGAGAGACTGTTTTATTTATTTCACAGTTTCTCTCTGCTGTAGTGATCTCCAGTCTCACAGTCATCATTACCAGGAGAGTAGCACTGTACCTGAATCACACTCTCTGTAACACTGGTTTTTCTCCGGACACCTCCGTAAGGCTCTTAATTAACTTCATTTTTTCATGGCAAATTAGCAAAGCTATTTTCTTGTCTACGTATTCCTGAATCAAATCAGAGAGTTTTCCTCAATTAACCTCCCATTATTCTCTTGATTCTGTCATACACACTCACTACTAAATTTGCCCTCAGATTATTGCGTCATGTTACACATGTACAGACGAAGAAAGGACACATTTTTACTTTTTTTTTCTTTTTTAAAACAGAAGTAGGGAGAGGGGGGCTGAATGTGCAGACAAGGCAGTATAATTCAACCATCCAAGCCCTACCAGAGCATGAAGATTTTATTTTTTAATATTGCAGAGTAAGTTCCCCAACAGTCAGTGTTTGTCCCTGAAGAAGGTTAAACCTTAAACACCTGCTTCAAAAAAACCCCCAACAACAACAAAAAAAGAACCAAAACCAAACCAAACCAAAACAAAAAAATAAAACCCCCAAAAACCAAACTCTAAGCCTAAGGGCTTAAAAATTAGAGGCATAGCCTTTTTCTCTATTTTCTATATTTATATGAAAATAATTCATGCTTCATGCTAAATACATTATTTACCTTACAAGAACTTTGTCATCTTTGAATAAAAAAAATTGTTTGCTTTTTGTTTTCCCCCCCTCCCTAAGGAATCCATGCAATGTGGATCAAATTTCTTCTGCTGGCTACGCTGGTTCAATCTGGAAATTTGTTGTCATTTTTGCACAGATGAATCCTGACTGACGGCCACTGCACACTCATTTCTGAGGGCAGTGTGGAGCTCTTTTGTTAAACTTCTGAATTTTACTGTTCACCAATATGCTTTCCTTTTATTTTTAAATACAGAATACTACTAATGGCAGGTTTTGTAGCTTTGTTTCCCCAGTTAGATCAAGGATATGATCCACAGAAAAAGATTCTGATGTACATTGTATCTATTGTAATTTCTTAGACTTGATTGCTTTTCACTCAGGCAGTTTAGAAGACATAGCTTGTTTTTCCCTATTACTATGATTTTTTGCACGCAGTGCCAATCTTCAGGCTTATGGCTTTTTGAACATTCTTTCAATTTAATATAGAAGACAGAATTCAATGGTTAACGATGCTACTGACAGTGACCCCCCTCCCATTTCTTCTTGTTATTTCACTGAAACCCATTGCATACATAGTCCAAATTTCCTCAAACTTATAGTTATCAGTCTTCACATTATGAGCCACATGGGACACATGAAGCACTGAAAGTGCATTACAGCTTGCACAGTTGCCACCAGTGGCTGTCCAAAGACTTGTATGGCACAATGTATCCAAGTGCCACTAGATGGTTCTTGGTTGAGAAGTACGTGCCTCCTCTCTTCCACAAATCTCTTTATTCATATTCACTTCTAACCCAATTGTAAGGCCATTAAAAAAATTCTTAAGGGCCAGGCCTGAATGAATACTAAATTATGCACAGCTCTTCTACTATAAGAGGGATTTCCAAGTGCCCAATTTTACTCCAATAACATTAATGTTGATGTCACTGCGTATTGAACCACGCATTTTTGACAAGCTGGAGAAAGCAATGGCGATTTTGGCTTTTTTTTTTTTGTTAACTTTTTGTCTTCAGGTAATGAAAAGCTTTTCGTAAATTAGCTGAGTGTCAGTATGAGTTCTATGGCTTCAATCTCCTTTAAAAATAAAAATCTTAAGGGTTCAAAAAATTAAAAGAAAAAAAAGAAACAAAACAGAAACAAATAGAAGAAAAACAAAAAAAGGAAAAAATTGCTGATATTGCCACAAATCATTAGAATTCACCTGACGTGCTGAAACAAAACTTTGTAAGTTCAAACAAATCATTGATTTGTTCTAATTTTTTGTGGTTTCCTTTTGCTCTTTCTGCCCCTTTGCCGTCCGATTCGTGATGTTGTTCAAACAGGATCGAATTCCTGCTAAATGCAGGAGTGATCCCGCTGCTTCTTTCATCTCCTCATCGTCACTCTCAGGGGGCTTTTCTGTACGTCTCTTTTTAAGAGGCAGTGTGTCACTTGGTACTTTTTTCGCCTTCATTAAATGTTGCCTTTTCTTGTGCTGGGATGCATACCCACTGTCAGCTAAAGAATCCTTGGTCTCCTTCCGACTTTGCTTTTTGTCCTCCTCTTCTGTTTCACTATGGCTCTCGTGGCTCTGGAAGCTAACTTCACTTCCTTCACTGCTGTCTTGGCTACCTTTAGTTGCAAATTCATACTGGTCGTCAGCAGAGGAAGAGGAAACGGAGTCACTAGCAGGTGATGTGCTCCTGTGGTTGGAAGATTTGGCACTGCTGTAGTTGTGATCCTCCTTCGGGTCACCGCTAACAACGGGAGAGCCGCAGGACTGTTCGCTTTCTGTCCGCATCCGGCAGTTTGCTATTCCATTCCTGTAGAAACAAATAGAAGCAGTCTTAGAAGCCACACAGATGTGATCCTGCCTCAAAGCAAAAGATGATAAAGCCAACTGACAAGTAAATTGAAATTATCATCCGAAACTATGAGTATCAAAGTAATGTCCATGCAAGGTGGTTTCAAAGCCTAATTGCTCGTGGATTGGACTTGACATTAAAACACGCCAAAAGACACAAAACAGCACAAGAGGCAGGAGCAAGTAGAGGATGGTTACAAATAAATGATATCTAAAGTCCTGATTTACATTTCAACTAATAGCTTACACTTCAGAAATTAAAAAGAAAAAACCCCAACATTATTTTATCTCCTGGATAAATAAACTCTGGTGAGTTGCATAAATATCCCCTCCTCTTTTTCATATAAATGATAATATCAAAAATATGGGGAAGAGACACTAGCTTCCTGGAGTAATTATTTGCCACCTCTGAATGACACTTTCCAGCTCCAGCAGTCCAAGTGCAGGAGATGTTTCACCTGGAAATAGCACAGCTTTCATTTAGGATTCTTTCCAACAAAAGGAGCAACTAAGTATAAAAGCCAGGTTCAGCCACATTTCTGATTCTGATCAGTTAATGAATAATCTTAAAAGCAATACAATCTTTAAGCCACTAGCTGCCAATAAAATATTACAATGTGCTCAAAAACAGGCAGTAGAAAAGATAAATCTGGATTTACTCTAGAAGCTGTCATTTCCCCCTTTGGTTTTATAGCACCCTGTGCTGTGGGAACTACTGCAACACAATATATTTTAAAATGAACAGTGTTCCTTTCTGGACTAAAAAGTATTAGAGCACTGCCACTGATTTTCAGTACAGAATACAATGCCTGCAAGACTATTAAAGAAGGGACTGGCCCTTAATTCTTAATCCTTAATTCCTGCTGAGAAAAGGAGAGTAGGATGTTCATCATTGAGTAAAGCCATCACCATTGCTACCTGCCAGTTCACCAGCCTTGAACCCCTCTATCAGTTGAAAGAAACCCAACAAAAAAGCAAGGCTGTTTAAACTATCCCATGATAAACTGATTTAAGGTCTACTCTTGCCGTCTTTGTGCTACCACTAGAATGCTTTTGCACGCTCATGGCAGTGTTGGATTAAAACCTTTTCTTAAATGTATGCACTGAGCATAGATATCTAAGAGGAACAGCACAGGGGCAAGTTCAGAGTATTACTGCTCTTCTTAAAAAGTGCTTTAGGTTTCAAGGAACGGACCTCATGTATGGGGTTTTTTATAGAAGAAGCAGCACAGTATTATCCCTTTTTGAAAGGTAAGGTTGAAATGTGGGAATATAAGAGTGATATCTAATTCCACAGCTCCTATTCATCTAACTGCTCGTCTCTAGACCTCACTGAGATAAGAAACCTGCTTCCTTTTATGAACCAATGACAGTACAGTGCTAGAAAGCAGCAAATTTATGGGTCATGCCAAATGTTCTTATTTACAGTATTTTTCAAAGAAATGTTTAGAATAGAAGGCCCAGTTATTAGAAAAGAAAGCCTCTTGTCAACCTCTTTTGCTCAACAAAATTGCCTTCCCCTAGATTTCTGAGTAGATGCATGATCCATAAATTCTATATAGAATCCAAAAGGACTTCAATTATTAATAACTAAATGCAATGTCATTCATGATTGTGCAGCAAGCCAGCTGCATTTACTCTGTGATGGCTTGCCACTGCAGGGGATGTCATTAGAGGTTGCCAAATGCTTAAAAGAAGAAATCATCCATACTAAACTAGTTGTAAGGTGAATTTATAACAAACTCCTTAAGATCAGTCATTACAAGGAAGCATGTGATGCATTTTAAGTGACAGATTCTTCATTTTTAGGGTAAATTTACATTTAAAGATGTTTAAAATTATCATAAATTAGCATAAAATTAAAGTTACTTGATTTTACTAGGCAGCTAAAAGTCAGAGCAATGTAGCTCACTAAAAGTCACATGCTACTAATTTTCCATTAAAAAATAATCTATCTGTGCTCCGAGGAAACAAATACAAGACAGAATGGGTGGGAACTCCTATGGGATGCCTACTGTTAGCGAACAAGGCTTCTAATGGATGGGATTTAAACCAAGATGCCCATTTTTATGTTATTAAATCTACTTGTTAGTTTGTACTGAGAGACTGTCAATAAAAGGAAAGCTACAGTTCCATGGAGCAATGCAACCATGTACCAATAAGACATCCCTGATTTGCCCTAGTCCTGAGTTTCTAGTGTTGTTTTTACATAAAAGGGCTATAATTTGGATTCAGAAACTCTGCCCATGGGACTTACTCTGGATCCCAATTCTTTCAAATCAGCATAAAAACAGAATGAAATGCCTGGGGAGTACAGAGGCAATGCCCTAGGGGAAGGTGTATTACTGTGGGGTTAGCATCCCACAGGGAGTGACTGCAAACAGGGATGCTGATGAAGAAAAACAGAAGTTCACAGAAAGGTGCAAAAAAGGAATCACTTTAAAAAAAAGGGGAGGAAAGGAAATACCAATACACTTCAGAAGAAAGGCTTCTATGGTGGAACTGGTCAGGAAATGGACAGCATTTGCATCTTAGAAAAATCTTTAGGTTTCACTTACATTTTGAAAGATTTCCAACCAGTTCTGCTTGAGGAAATAAAAATGGAAGAGAAAGCAGGTCAAGGAGAGAATTAGCAAAGAATATTTGCAGAAATAAAAAAGTTACACAGGCAGAGTGTTTAGGATATTCACAATATCAAAAGTCATGTACCCTGAAAGGAAATTAATCTGATCTGTATCTTGATATGCAACAGCTCAAACACAAGATGAATTACTTATAACTGATATTAGTAGATTAGTAAGAGTTGAATAAACTAATATCTAAAACATTCATATTCCATATGTGCTTCTGAAACTCTAAAGCTTTGCATTGCTCTTATACAATCATATGTTCACTACGAAATGAATCTATGATCTACTTACATCTACTTACTTCTACTTACTTCAGAACTCCCTTTGGTTTCAGGAGACAGATTTTGGCTAGCTGAATCTATTTTTGCTCCCAGTTCTAGTTGTACCTCTAAGTTTGTTACTGAAACAGTAAAAGATTTTTAAAACAAGTGACTGCTCCATGTGTGGATTATTTTTAAATTACAGAGGGGAAGAAAAGGTATTTAAGAATTCCGTGCTTACTGTAACAATGAAAGGAAATTTCTTTTGAAAAGAAATACCTTATTTCCCCCTCCATGTTTGTTCAGAACTTTATTTCAAAATTTCCAGAAACTGACGTATTTTCATGTTTTCAGCAGTGGCTCGCCCTTTCAGGAAAGTCCATGGGACAATCTCTAGATCTTTTCATCCTGCTGACATGGACATTTTATTTGCTTGAGATCTGAACCTAAAGCACTGTGTACAGATTCTTCTTAGAATATTTCTGTCTGGGTGTAGCACAGTGACACAATCCTCAAGCAGTGCAGAGGTAAGTTTGGACTTTTGAAAGTCCAACTTCATTCCCATGGCTAATGGTTACGAATTCTGCCACTAATATAATCAGAAGTCAGATGGGACTCACAGCAGCTGGATCTCAAACAGTAAGGAAATGATGTCTTTAACTGACAGCTTGGAAAAAAAAAAAAGGGTTACATTCTGTTTGCAAAGTGGCAAAAAGTTCTGCTGAAAAATACTTACTGTATTCCACCCTTAAGACAGGTGTATTCCTTTGATGAACACAGAAAACCTATGTGGATTTTAAATATCACCTTAATCTACCTCTGATCCTTCTGGATGACAGCTACTGTGTACCCATAGGTGACAGTTTTGGTATGTAACTGGAAATACCCAGTTAGAAGACACAAAGAAAGCAGTACAGGTAAGCTGGGTTTGTAGATTTTGACAAGTTCCAGGTTTGATAAAAAAAAAAAAAGGAAAAAAAAAGCACTCTTCTTTTATTTCAAAGGGAAATTCAGGACAGTCAGAACTTTCAGCTACAGGTAGTTGAACTGCTTCTTAAAACCACTACACACCAGCAGACAGGAGGATGAGCAAGCATATGGAAAAGTAAGTGGTGCTCACTTGCTGTATGACGAGATTCTGTCAGGGGTTACTGAATGGAAAGTCAACAAGTTGCTCACACTGGTGACAGCAGCTCTTACAAAGGTACTTCAGAGCATAATTGTATACAAAGGATCACAGTAAATGTGAGTCATGCACTGCCAGCAGTATCAACAGCAGATCTGAAGTTAAGCCAAATACAGCCCTCTGCATTTTTCAAAGAAAGAATAATCCAGTTAGTTATCATTATTATCCTTTAGTTACTAGCGGACTCCTTTGGCTCCCAAGGATAACTGATCCTGCCTGTTACAGGTGGAAAGGGGAATGCAATGTAAGGATGACTTGGGGTTTGTTAAGCTGATCATGACAGTAATAAGCAAAAGCATTAAGAAGATGCAATTAAGAATTTATAAAAGGAAATACCTACCAATTCCTTTATCTAAGCAAAACTAATCATTCACAGATAATATAAGTGAATAATAATAATTGTACTTATGCTTTGGCATCTATTCTGCACATGTTACTTAGGTTTGGTATATTTAATCACTGCTTGAGTGGCTGCTTCAAGGGAAGAAAAAATAAGCAAAAAATAAAGCTAACATGAAAAATAAAGTCACAATAATTAAAATTACACCCGAGGAATAATCTAGTAATTACCCTAAAATTAAGAGTGAAAATAATCCTAAATAACAATCTTTCATCTTCAAATAAAGTTAGGCACAAAATTCTTGTCACACCCCAATGACCAGGAGTTGCATAAGGAACTGCGGCATTAATAGCAGGAGAAGAACAGGTATTTTAAAATCTGCTCGTGATGAAGTAGGTAAGGTTTGTTACCATTGCATTTTTGGGCATTCTGTTGATTTCTGGTTTGGCTGGGTTTTTTTTAATTTTTTTTTTCTTCCCCCCCTCAAAATCAAGGAAGAGCAGTAGCTCTGCTAGTGTGGATGCACTTGCTCTCCCAAGGAAGAGGGAACATTTTATCTTGGAAATCTAAATAGAATATTTTTTATTTTTTTTACTGAGGGAAATTCCCTAGGAAGCTTGTTTGCAATTTACTGATCATTGTGAAATTCCTCAAGAATGCTGGTGTTTAACCCCAGCCAGCAACTACGTACAATGCAGGTGCTTGCTCTTCCCCAGTCCATGTGGCATGGGGAGGAGAATTTGAGATAAGAACACTTTAATAATTGAAATAAAGTAAATAATAACAACAGTAACAACGATGTTGTTACAATGATGACAATGAAAAGGGAGGAACAAAGAGAGGAATAAGAGGAATAAAACACAAGAAAGACAAGGGATGCACAATTCTGCTGCTCACCACTCACTACATCCCCCAGGAGCGATCAGCCCCTCCCAGCTAACTCTCCTGGTTTATATACTGGGCGTGATGCTCTTTCGTATGGAATATCCCTCCGGCCAGTTTGGGTCAAGTTGTTCTGGCTGTGCTCCCTCTCAGCTTCTTGTCCACTTGCTCACTGGTAGAGCATGGGAAACTGAAAAGGCCCTGACTTGGGGTAAGCTCTATTCAGCAACTAAACCATTATTCTTCCACTAAATCCAACACACACCTCTGTACCAGTTAGTAGGAAGAAAATGAACTCTATCCCAGCCAAAACCAGGGAGAGAATGCTACAAATGTTTGGCGAGAAAGAAGAATTGCAAAAAAAAGGAAAAAACTCTATGTAATACCCCATTTATTTTTATTTTTAACCTTCAATAATTTAAAATCCAAGGTATTTCTAATAAACACTACCAAAAGTAATCTAACCTATTACCGAGGCATACATAGCATATAATTTTATTTTTTTTTTAAATTACCACAGATATTTTGTAAAACATCTTCTGCAGAATAACCTGAACCAAATTACAAGGTCTGTGCCAAACAGCTGGTGAGATTCTCTGTTGGGTGAGAACCTCACCGTGGATCTGTCCACATCAGGCAAATGTGGCTCAGCAGTTCTACTGCACTGCAGCAGGACCCTGACACAGTCACAAACCACTCACACTCTATGGATAACCAGAGAAAATCACAAACATCGTGGCAGAGGCTGTCTGCTGAATGTACTGAAATTGCAGTTCCAACAGTTCTAATGTTGGATCAATTTCCAAGCTTGTGCTCTTCCCAAGGGTTGATGTAACAGGTGATATCTGACTCAATGGAAGGTGATTGTTTATGATAGAACTTCTTGCACCTTGCCAAGACATGTGATGGCAGATGCACTTGCCACTTTGACAGACTGTGCCTACAACACTGAAGGTCTCCCAGGAAAACAGTTAAAAAATATTTTCCAGTGGATGATGATAGGAAGAGGAAGAACTCGCCTTCAAAGCACAACCAACTCTTTGCTGTATGTAAAGAAATACTGGCTTTGCCTGCTTTCACTGAATACCTTTGTAAGTCAATATTTTCTTTTCTACATATTCAGACTATCACTGCATTTGCTTTTAGATTCTCTCAGGAAACTGTATGGGGATATGGTCTGCCAAAAATATATATGATGGATCTCATGTTAGAGACATGCTACACGCTGTGCAGCTTTGAAGCGTTATTTTTCCCTGCTGTCTTTGGGTGGGTCTTAGACTTGTCAGCCACAACATGGAAAATATGGATGGTAAACAAGCTAAAAGTGGTGTGAATAAAGTAAATAAAAAGCTACTGTCAAAACACATCCAATTATGCTCTGCTGTGGAGATTTAACACCAGAGGATGATTGTCAAAGTAAAAATAGTGTGGGATGCCTTTTCCATTTGTAGATTAGTTTGGAATGAAAGGCCTATTTGTGCAATTTAAGGCAAATGCACTACAAAATAATGAAGCTCTCTTCAAATTGCTATTCTTTATTCATGGAAAGTCATTTTTGTTAAATACATTTCAGTAGGGTTTTTAACTCAAAGTACTTGATTCAACTGTACTTTATTTTATATATAAAAATATAAAGTAATTAAATGTAACTACAAGGGAACAGCAACACATTGATACCTTGTACAGGTACAAAATATGGCAATGCATTCAGTCACACTGTCAAAGATGAATAACACAGTAAACTTTCCAACTGATGGTAGTTAACACACCAGAAATCACAGATTTCAGCACTTTAGTCCAGTGTTATGGTTTTGGCCTCCTTGCTGAATGAGTCAAAACACTCCACCTAATTACAACTGCGAATTTAACCCAAGACCAAACTTTTTCTTACTCTGTTTTGGCACTAATGACACTGCACAGCAGGACAACATACTGCAAGTCATTTGCACCAGTTTGGGGGACAACAAAACCAAAGAATATTAAGATATTGAGGAAATAAACACAAAATTAAATAAACAGCTCAGACAGCAAGGAAGTGCCAACAGAAGACCAGCACCTTACAAAAGAACCTGTAATTTCTAGACATGGTAACTAAAGAAAAACAGTTAAAAGGTTTAATTTATTATGCAACAATCCTCTACCATGAAAATGCTACAGGTTCCCTATATGAATGATGAAAACTATCATCTTTAAGTGGTTTTAAGCCTTTCATTTACAGCATCAAAAGAACTCTTCTCAAGAAAATACACACTTGAGTAAAAACTTCTTAGAAAGAAGCTGTCTGGTTTCTCAATAAATAGCCAGAGGCACACAGTTTCTGCAGAACTGTAACAGGAGACTGCACCACCTCCCATGCCTGCCCAGACCTCCCTCCTGGTGAAAGTTAGAAGAGGAAATCAACCTTCCTGCACCTAAACAGGTCTGAAAACATCCCCTGCCAGCCTGACTGGAGCATCGTCCTCTAGGCAGGAATGACAGCTCAATCTGAGCAGTACTCCCACTCTTAACTGCAAAAGAAGGCTGCATGGATGCTGCGGTAAATTCCCCCTGTTGCACATTATAAGCAGAGGTTATTCTCGTGAGATGTCATGAAAACTCAACATGACAGGTCCTATTTAGCCCTGTGTATCTGAGGAGAGGAAGGCACCAAGAAATGATGCCATTTTTACAGTAACTGATAACAGAAGTATCCAGTTTTGAGAGGACCAGATGATATTCTAAGAGGCATTGTGAATCCAGATTGATCTTCTTCCTAAAGAAATTTGGAATCTTATTATCCCTGAGGGAGGCAAGGCAAAACTGCCTGCTGAACTCTCCTTGTTGTAGAGAGTCCCCTAACTTCTCAAGAGGCTTTCAAGCCTCTTGTCTGTGCCAAATCCCTGCCTTTCAAGAATTAAAAGAGGGTATATTGCAGGAGCCTTTAAATATGAGCAGACATCATGCACACTAGGAATATATTCATAGCAAGCTATTTCTAATACTGCCTAAGGCTGGAGAACAAAAAGAATTAGAAATGTCTGCATTAACTAATTATAAATGATTTTCTGTGAGACAGAGCAAAAAGAACATAAGCAAGGGAGGGGTAAAATCCCTAATTTCTCAACTCTACATTAGGAGATAGCTGGTAAAGATCCTGTTCTCTACCTGCTGGGAAAAAACATAAGAAATAGTCCTCTGTAAAACACCTAAAATTTAACTATATACAGATTTACAGCATGGCAATTTGAGGATGCCTATACAGAGTTAAGTTTTCAAGTGGCCTGGAAGTAAAACAGTTTTATCTCCTCCTTGAGTCAATCCCGATTATGAAACAGGATCTAAGCAAGAAACGCAGATAAACTTTACAGAGAATATTCAGACCACTATGTCCTCCATTTAGCTTGGACACCTCATAAAAATGATATATAATTAATGACCCAGTAGTCCCACAGCTCTGCAATCCCCACTGGAGCAGAATACAAGTCCTGGGTAAAGCCAGCAGCAAAGTTGAAGCAGAGGCTGACCTCTGCTGCCAGCAAGGCCAGGCTGTGGTAAAGGCAGACGGAGGGAACTCCACAGAATTCTGGAGGATGACTCTTGGGGTTGCATCCCTTCAGTGTAGCAAATGTGAAAAACAGATGACAAAGTTGCCAACCCAAAAATATGGGTTTTATTTCAATTAGTGTTTTGCCCTCTATGCATTTTAAGCATCAAGAGTACACCAATGTCATAGGCTTTCTCTGTCTCTCATTCCATTTATTGGATGGAAATACTGCACCCAAAGGGCTAGACACTGATTCTGAAAAGGGATAAAAAAATGGAGTAACTGGGTATAAAATCCCAAGTAGATACTAATGAAATAAGAGCTTTCAAGATACTTTATTTCATTGTCTTGCAGCCATTTCCTGAGAAAAGAGGATGTAATTGGAACAGCCCAGCAAAGTGGGGTCAGCACTAATTATGAAAACTCACCCAGAATACCCCACTACAGGAGCTGAAATAGCTTTTGCAGATACTGAGAGTTCTGAAAGAGAAGGGCACCGGCAGAACACTTGACCAAATTAATCTCTGTTGCGACTGACTGAAAATGGAGCTACACCCGAGGCAAATTGTTCTTCCACCAATAAACCAGTACTGCTTTAAGCAAAGCAAACCATGGAACCACAGTTCTGACTGTCATCACTAGATGTCTCTTACTGCCCTGCTTCCTTAGATAGTTGAGTATATCTTAAACAACATTTTACCCTTTAATGTTTTGCTATAACCTTGAAATAAAACTTTAGTGAAAGAAACAGCCTCACAAAGACCCAAGTTAATAACAACATGACAGCTATGTGTTTTGATATCTTTCAGGGTTTGCTTTAATATTATTGATATTCTTCTCTCTGGTATTTAATCCAGGAAAAGGTTTTAAGAAAAAGGGGGGTGGGAAAAGCAGGAAAAATCATCTGAACTTAGAAAAACAGTCCACAGCAGGATGTTCTCACTATAAACTGTCTGCTATTTGCTAGTGAAAATAAAACTGCTTCTTACAAACCAGTGTGCCACACAGATATGCCATGACTATGTTGCAAAGAATGATAACCCAAGAGTTTGAGGTGACAGAGTTTTGTTTCATTTAGAACCTCAGAAGTATTAGTAAGCAGCAAAGTATCTGTTAACCAGAGCTTACAAATACTTTGATGCTTTCTGCAAAACACTAATTTACTTCATACAGATCCCACAATGAGCCACTCTTACCTTACTGCGACAGCCATGCTTCCTATAGGGTTGATTGGCAATGGCCTGGCTCCAGGAAATATTCCTCTACTCAGTACTCGAGCTCCATTTTGTATCACTCCCGAAGGAACTAAAAACAAAACATAAAACATTTTTTTCTTTGAAAAGAAATGTTAAAAATTATGGGAGCACAACGTGGAACTTAAGTTTTTCAATGCACTGAAAAATCATTAGAGAGGTTTGTGCAATACACTGCTTACCTTGGACGTCTCAGCCTCAACTCTTCTGAGTGCTGTGCTACTTCCAATGCTACTTTCACAGCAACCAATGATAACATGGCTTGTGAAAGCCACTGCCTGACCTAATTGCTGCAAATCATTCCTTGTACAATTGAATCACTTTTGTTTTGTTATCACCGTTCTGCTGGGAATGCATGTGCTTAGAGTCAAAACCATCTACGAGCACAGATGAAACTATTTTGTCTACAAAAAGAAACAATGACCCTTTACAGATAAACAGAACATAAGCACTTCATTGCAAGAATACAGTTCACAGCTTTTTATCATCCCAGTTTACTTTATGAGCAGCAATCTCTTGGCCTCTGCCTCCTACAAAATAAAATATTAACTACAAATATGTATTTACCAGGAAAGGAAAGAGAAGAGGGTAAAAAGGCTTTATGTCCATGGCACTGATTAGCCCCTCTCTCTGGCCATCAATAACCTCTGTCACCCAGTCTGGCAGCACAGGGATGGGTCACAGCCCAGCCTCTCCCATCCAACATGGCACGCGGATGCCACTGACACCGAACTGTGCAGGTACTGACCACTACAGATGAGACTTTACTGGGGCCTTTTAACTTGGTTGTGTATCAAAAACTGCAGCTCTGGCCAACAAGATTTTAACCTACAACCCAGTACTTATTTTCTACTATGCAGACATGTTCCTGTGCACTGCTCAGGCCAGGGCAGCCAGCCCTGCAGCTGAATGAACAAGCAGAGAAGCACTACCAATGCACCACCAAAGGAAGAGTCACCTTAGCAGGTCTCAGTGTTTTTCCTCCTCCACTGTGAGATGAAGGACTCTTGAATATAGTTCTTAGCCTAGGTAGTTACCAAGGACTTACTTAAAAGCAATGGCTTTTTTTTTGCACAGATATTATGTCCCTTCAGGCTGGAGCAGTAACCTCCAACCTCCTGTATCCCAACTTGCATCTTTAACATCCGTAGCTAGCCAGTTCGCTCACTTTCTGCTTACTGTACGTCATCATTCATACCATTACGTCCCCTAATGGGGAATGTCCGAAAAGAAAATGATGATCATTACTCTGGGTATATTATTTTTAACCATACAGATATTATATAAACAAATACAAGATAAATGTAAACCGTATCACTTTATATACACCCACAGAATTTATTTTTAAACAAATTACAAGAAGACTAGGAAAATTATTCAGCTTAACAATCAACACATACACTTTACATGCCCACCTTCAAATACTCACACCACCAAAATGTAAGTGTATTCTGAGGTAGAGGAATATTAGCGTAGAAGTATATTAGTTCTAAGCTGCTGAGATACACTTCAACTTCCTATTAACACCAAGCCAGATCCACAACTCCCTTCCTGCTATCCTGGTGCTCACCTTGCTTTACTCCAGACCACATAGATTAGTTCTGGGAAAATAATTTTCTTTCTCCTGCTTGTGAGAGTACATCACTTCCCTGAAAAAATCCTGTCCCTGTGTTACACCCACCCTTGCTTTTAAGCACCTCTGAAGAACAGGTCATTTATATTTAGGTGCTTAAGTACAGCCTCAAATGGCTAAAATTACAGTACCTACTTTATAACAACTTGGGTCAGCTTTCAATGACCAAAATAATTTTAAAATTGCATTTTGCTATTTATACTTCATTATTTTGTACACTCTTTCCTCCAGCACTAGTTCATGAGAAATCAATCAAATATTTCACTCAGGGGACACTATGAGGCTTTCGATGCTCCGATGTTTGGGTTTGTAGATACTGTAGAGCAATGTTATCTTGGTAAAGACTCCAAAATCTCAATTTATTATTATTATTTGTTTCAACAGCATGACTTTGAGATGGTTAAAACACCAGTGTCATGAAAGAAAAGCAGTCTGCTCAAGGCTAACCTAAAATACACAGATCACAGGTAAATTCAAATATCAACAGATAAATGTGCTAAATACCAAAATACCAATAAAAGGACATAATTTCCAATGGGCATGGTTTTTCCAACAAAGCTTTTAAGAGGGACAGATTTTATACTGCACTACACAGTATGGGTTTCTTTCCATTTACAAAGTCTTGTTAAAAGAAACGAACCAAGAGTTTTGACAAGGATTTTGACCAAGGAAGATCTGGGAATTTTCTCTTTACTATGATACAAACCATAGAATTTTATATTGAAATGAAATATTTATGCAAATGCACAGAACTACATGTCAGTTAGCTATGGATATTGTCTAAATATACATACTGTAAAACCTCAAAGCAAACATAATGTAAGTTATACTGCAAAAAGAGAGCAACAGGCTCCTTGATGCCCAAACTCTTCTTTCCACAGTTACCATATAATTATCCTGGTCTGCTGGCAGAGTTAGCTGATGCTTATTTTATTCTTCTCCTACCCTCTCCTTCTGCCTTATTGACAAATTCCATTGCTTCTTCAAAAAATCCTGTTTGCTTCCTCATCAATTCTACAAAAATAGTCTTCTGTCTTTTCTTCTTTACCTTCCCTGAATTTCCTTTTTTCCTGCACTCCTATCTCTCTCTCTCTCTCTCTCTATATATATATATAGATAGATAGATAGATAGATAGATAGATACAGATACACTGCCAAGTCTCACAACTTAGACCTTCTATACGTTGACATCCGCACTGGAACCCACACTCCCTGTTCCTTGACACTTTGCAGGTTTCTAAGTCACAGTGTGCTACCCAGGAAACACTCTCTTCAAAGGCTTCACATTTAAAACATTCCCACCTCAACACACATGCACTCTCCACATATTCCCTTCAAGGATTAACAAATGTTTGAAAATAGAGAAAGTTCGTTGTCTTCTGAAAATATCCCCAAAAAGACAACTTGGTATTTTCTTCTGCCTATGAAATTCTCTTTAATGATGTCTAGTCTGTGCCACATGCCACCACTCACTGAAAAGCTTCAATAGGACTATTCAGGGCAGAAGAGGCCTTAACTATGATGTGATTCTAACTTTTCTTCAAAGTACACCACAGCTCTGTGTGCTCAAATGATCACTCAGAATTCAATAACTATTTCAACTTACAATAGCAGTGTTATTGCTACTGATTTTTGGTTTTGTTTCCCCAAACTCTGAATTATGATGCAGCAATACCACTGCTACACTCAGACGGACAAACAGAAAGGTGATAGGCAATGGATCACTGAAGGAGGACACTGGTCAATGCAGTGTATCCTTTTAGTAAATATCTAGAACCATAAAGAAAACAGACCCAAACATCCCAACTTGCTGGTACATTAGTTTCTGTAGCATTTTAAACCTAAAATGAAAAGCGGAATCAAAATAATTCAATGGTGAAACGTATTAATTTCTAGTTATCCACATAACCAATGTCCCATTGTAAGCCTGATTTTTCTTGCTCATGCATCTCTACTTACAACATTTAAAGCATCAATACTCATCCTTCTCAAAAATAACAATTACTGAATTGTAAACTACTAATACATTGCCCCTGATACCCACACACTTTTCCTGCCTTTGTGCAAGATGTATGAAGATGCCTACTTATATCCAAGGAATTATTTCTACATCTTGGTGCTTTTGAAGGGTTGTGGATTATTTACTGGAAATTACCTGGTGCTTTTATTTCATAGATACATTTACGCCTCACAAGCTTTAATTATGTTTCAAGCACATAACTTTGAGGTGAAGTACTCATATTTGAGATTGAAGATTCAAAGTGTAGAGGCAAGATAATTTACTCCAAGCCATTTCATCAATCACTGCCATCCTGGACTAACACTTTACAGTCCAGACCCCTCTCTTCTAATGCTTCTTTAACCAACAGTACAGGCAGGTTACATGGTTCCCAATGCCTAGGCAGAAGTGTGAAATGTAATTTACACCTTTTCTGTGCAAGTGAAAAGAGCCGTTTATGTCTGAGAAGCTCAGCTCAAGAAAACAATGCAAAAAGACTTGTGTGTCTCTTTGATGAAGGTTTCCTCTTTCACGAGTCTGAAACAACAAATCATTATTCACCTTTCAACTTTCATCACTGCTATGTTCTCATTCTGCTCTCAGGAAACTTAAACCCAGGAAACACTTCCACTGGGGTAGAGTTTAACTGTGTACAGAGAATTTGCTGCACGAATGGGGAGATGATTTTTGGATCTTACACTGCTTACATCAAAAATCAAGACTGTATCTCTAAAATTCTCCAAGGGGAAAAACCTCTCTTTTGTAGTGAACATTCATGCTAAAGTTTCTGAGAAAATAAAGTGACTGATGTCTAGGAGAATGTTTCATAATCTGAATCCACGAAGACACTCTATTCAGTTAGTGTTAAAAGGATTCAACAAAAGCCCTTCAAAAATCCAGTACTGTTTTGTAGCCTGTACTCAGTTTCTGTAGGTGGAAAATAAGTAGATGATCATATGATCACTCCATAGTCAGAGCAGGACTCTCTTAATCCAGAGCATGGTCTTCAGTGCACATTAGCTGAGTAGAATATCATAAACTATGGACTTCTTTCATCACATCTCTCAACAGACGGCATCCATAATCTCTTATTTGCAAGTGGGTGTGCAGATGAAGCGAGCTTCCCCCCTCCAGCTGAGACAATCACCTCATCCAAGACCTTCACAACAATCAAAACCATGTCAGACTGTGTCCTTCCCTGAAGGGGGAAGGACATTGTTAAACATAAAATGTAGCAATTAGGAAAAAGTGAAATGGAAAAGAAGCAGGAAATATGCAATAGATAGAGTCACCAGACACACTGACACCCCAACAGCTCAATAAAAAAAGAAAATTAACTTTCTTGGTTAAATGTTGGCACATGGAAGTTAAATATCAGCACTGAGTGAGATTTACTGTCAAAGAAATGAAGAAGAAAGGG